GAAATTGTTCATTTTCCATTAGGCAAAATTTACAGTGATTTACGGATTGTATGCACAAGTCAAATGTAAAGCAACAATGATTCATGCAGTTAATGACTTGATTGCTTCAAGTCTAGCGTAAAAACGCATGGTCGCACCGGTAAGCCTGATGCGTTGCAGCCTAGATTTCTTTAGCAGAACGCCAAATTTGTGTTTTTTTTTTTACTTAAATTTTTAGAAAGAATATGCATTGCAGGTTATAACAAAATAAGAAATTTGAAGTTATTGCTTTAAACTAAACTTTCTACCAATAAGACCCCTCGGACTTTTAAGTTAATGCTTCAAGATTACTGGTATGTCTCCACACGCTGGGCGCAACTGTATCAGCCCTTGCGATTCTGGAGCTGCATGCCTCGAACTCGTTATTTACACCATCTGTGTATATTTTGTTTTCTCTTCGGGGTCGTTGGACTGCTCGTTTTTTTCCCCAGAAGTGCCGCACACTTATGCGCGACATTCGCCAACTGTTGTCAACAAGGTGCGCAGCTCGAGCAACATTCCCAGTTCGTCGGATTTTATTTTTTTCATGTGGCCACGATGATAAGTCTTTGCGCACTGTCGGTCTGACGAAGTTTGACTGTTCGTTACGGTTGTGCAGAGACACGTCAAGCATCCTTCGCTCCATCGCAATCTCCATTACAGCAACGTTGGCTCTTCAACTTTCGCCGGTTTCTACGTTTCGCAACTTGTAATGCCTCACTTTAGCAGAGTGTTAGATGAAGAGGCGGAATGTTAGATTTCGAAATGCAGTTACAATTAGGACGCTTAAAATTTTGCATAGTGGCAGAGTAAGTGAGATTGTTCTAACAAAGCTAGCACTTTCGAAATTGCTACAATTGCTGCTTGCAGACTAATATACTCAGAGCGATAACGTTTTATTTGCAGATCTGCTGCCGCAGCTGTCGTCGTGGATTGCGGGACGCCGCAGCAAGAGAAGCAGTTACGGCGATGGTGTGGCAGTGGCGCTCTTAGTGTCAGAGTGACACAGACACGGACGTCGTCCTGCTACCTACTTCACTTTTTCATCTGGGAATGCCAGTGGTGTAGGGGGGGCAGCGTTGCCCGGGCCGAGATATTATGTACATTGCATACGAAGCATCCACACTATTCCGCCCGCCTGCCACTAAAGTTTAATGCTCTCTTCAGTGCAGTTATGCAGTTAAAAGTCATCATCAGTTTCGTTCTCATCATCATTACTATTACCATTACCATAATCATCATCATCATTCTCACCATCAGGTCGATGTCACACAAGTCGGCACTGTTACCGTTATCATTATCGATTTCGTTATCAGTATAACTATGGTTACATATTCGAACTTAGAGCCTCCCTATCTCTTTCATCTCCGAATGAAAGGGAAGGCAGTCACTGGACAATAAACTTACTTCGCCAAAAGCAATCGAAACGCACAGCCTTGTGTTTGTCCGAATGACTTATCCAGCGGCAAGCTAAACGATGCTTAATTGTTTTATTTACTCAAAACGGATACGACTACATCATCTTTGTACTGCGATCTATGGCTTGAAGCGCAAATTTACACTAGTTTTGGTAATTGAAGAACCGGGAAAGTAAAAAGCTTGAAATTTCAG